CAGTTAGAGTGGCCAAGGTCTGGAACGGGCTCCCAAGGGAGGTGGTGCTCTCCCCTACCCCGGGGGTCTTCAAGAGGAGGTTGGATAGGCATCTAGCTGGGGTCATCTAGACCCAGCCCTCTTTCCTGCCTATGCAGGGGGTCGGACTCAATGATCTATTGAGGTCCCTTCCGACCCCAACATCTATGAATCTATGAAAAAGGTAGGTGCTTGAATTACCTCTGGTGGCAGTCTATTCCAGACCTTGGGGGCTCGGACAGTAAAGAAGTTCTTCCTTATGTCCAGCCTGAAACAGTCATGGAGAAGTTTGTGACCGTTTGACCTTGTTATCCCTTGGGGTGCTCTGGTGCACAGACATTCCCCCAGATCCTGGTGAGCACCCCTGATAAACTTATAGGTGGCCATCAGATCACCCCTGAGCCTGCGGTTTTCCAGGCTGAAGAGTCCCATGGCTCTCAGCCTCTCATCATAAGGTCTGTTTTCCTGACCTCTGATCATGCACGTGGCTCTCCTCTGCACTCTCTCAACCTTCTCCACATCCTTTTTGAATTGTGGAGCCCAAAACTGGACATAGTACTCCAGCTGTGGCCTCACCAGGGCCAAGTACAACAGGAGAACGACGTCCCCTGATTTGCTCGAGAAGCATCTATGGATGCAAGCCAGCATTTTGCTTGCTTTACTAGCCGCAGCATCACATTGAAGTTGGTCACATGGGGTTCAATGCTAATGCTACACTGAGGATGGGTTGCAGGTTGCTGGACTTTTGGGGTGTCTTAAACATGATTAGACACAAAACCAAAAACTGAGTGCTCTGGTGTAGCTTATTAGATTGCTAAGAGTTTACGCTAACACACCCCCAGTGAGGTCCACAGAGCTGAGTAGGTGCCTGAGTTTAATAATAATAATAATAATAGTAATAACAATAATAATAATTATTATTATTATTATTTATAAGTTGATATTTTGGATACTGGGGAGAGTTAGTGTTTTGGAGACAGGGGAGAGTAAATGTAATTAATATTGTCATTATAATAACTAGCGCGCACAGGAAACCAGTGCCTCCTAAACCAACATGTTTCCTTGGGGTCACCCATCGTCGGCTGCAGAGTCCACAGTCAGGTGGGCTGGAAAGAAGCTAAGGGACTGAACCCAGAGAGTGCTGGTGTATGGGTCTGTACGGTCTTGGTGGGAGGTGGCCAGTGGCATCCCACAGGGTTTGGTTCTTGGCCCATGCTGTTCAGTATCTTTATCAACAATTTAGATGAGGATGTGGAAAGCATGCTGGCCAAGTTTGTGGACAATACTAAGTTATAGGGAAAAGCAGTAATGCTAGGGGATAAGATAATGATCCAAGTAGACCTGGACAATCTGGAAAGTGGGGCAGAACAGAACCGGATGCAGTTCAATATGGATAAATGCAGAGTGCTTCATCTGGGAAGAAGTAAGCAGTGACATGAATATAGGTTAAAAGGAGATGTCCTAGCCAGCACAATGGCTGAAAGGGACCTCGGGGTTATGGCTGATCACAACATGAACATGAGCTGCCAGTGCGACACTGTAGTCAGAGCTAATAGCATACCGGGATGCATTAGTCAATGCGTCGTGAGCAGGCCTAAGGAAGTGATACTTCCCCTCTACTCGGTGTTGGTGATACCCCAGCTAGAGTACAGTACTGTGTCCAGGTCTAGGCGCCACACTTCAAAAAAGACATGGAGAATATTGCAAGGGTCCAGAGAAGGGCCACAAGAATGATTAAGGGCTTGGAGGGCAAATCTTATGAGAAAAGACTAAGGGATTTGGGACTGTTCAGCCTGGGGAAAAGAAGACTGAGAAGACTTTCCAGAGAGCCCCTGTGTAGACAAGCCATTAGATTGTAAGCCCCTTTGGATAGGGACTGTTTTTCTGTTCTATTATTTTACAGCTGATCTACAGGATCCTGATTTATGACTGGGGCTCCCAGGGGACATTGCAATATCCATAAGAAGGGGGAAAAGAGAAGAAACATGAAAGGATATCAAATATTTGGATACAGTGCTCAGAGAGCAAAGGCTTATTAGTGGCATAGCCCTCCACCATTCCCCTTCGGTCAAGACTCAGGAAAGACAACGAAACAGAAAAAGGGATCCCCAGATGCAGGAAGAATAAAACTAACAACTGCAGGAGGACCATGGGGAAAGGAAAGTCACCTGGAATCTGTAATAGGATCAGAAAGAAACAGTGACTCCTGCCATGGGGGGGTCAGGAGATTACTTTAGAATTGATATGGCCCTTTGATATGTTTTAAGATCTGTTTGGGTGGTGGGTGGGTGGGATATATAGGAGTTGAACAATAGGAATTGAAAGAGGTAGCCATGTTAGTCAGAAGGTAGAAAGCAGGACAGAGTACTGTAGCGGGCAAATTGGGTAATGCTAAGGCTTTTTAGCCATAGTCAAGGCCTCCCCAGAACTAAGCACCAAAATTGAGCACCGTGCCTTCTGTGGCTCTGGGAGACGTGACTGGTGTGCTGGGCGAGCAAGGAGCAACCGTTTCCATGTAAGGTATGCTTCTCACAGCGCCAGGGGATTAGACAATTTCAGATGAAAAAGTCATAAAAGTAATGGTCAAACAAAGGAACGTGTGTGTGTAGCACGCTGTGACCCTGGGAGAACAGGGCTGCAGCTGCTGGGTGCCTGCTCGAACAGCAGGGAGCCAAAAACTAAGATCTCACACGCTCGGTGGAGGACCCGAGGCCTGGTACCCCCGAAGGTCGCTGCTGTAATGTCTAAGGAGCCACTTGTCAGGTCGTATTATGGGGAAGAAACCTGTAATCTTGACTAGGGGTTACTATTAAAGTTCACTTGATACCACATTGCACTAGTTGTCATGTCAATCCTTGGGTGGCTCTGGCAAAAAGAAATCCTATTGGTAACAGGTACCACCTTAGAGATGCACTGGGTAAGAGGCAGCAGCCTACTTTGTCAGATGCTGTGAAATTGCAGTTATAGGCCACTCTGTGGGAGGAGAATTTTGCTTGGTCTCTTGGAAATAAGAGGTTGGTGCAACATATATAGGAGCAGAATATGCCTCTAAGGCTACAAGGAGTTTGAATTATCAAAAATAAGTGTCCTGGTTGGCTTTGAAGCTAAAATCACTCATTCTGTTGCATGAGTTTTGGAAAGAAAAGTCTAGACAAGGGTCTCTTGAGAGCAGTTGTAAGCCAGTAGCAGAGCAGAAGTGTGGCAGGTACATTACCTCAAAGAGTGACTGGACATCCAGGTTTGCACAGGAATCTGTGGTTTTCTGCCACTTTCCATCCCGGCACATAAAGAGCCTCTCCCCGCGGAAGAGACGGCCGCATGGTTCAGAGCAAATGGCACCACTAACTCCACAGTCACTGGTACATACCCCTAGAAAACAACAGGCAAAGACTGATGGCTACAGAGGCCTGGCAGGATACCTTGATCCATATGGTAAAGTCATGTGTTTGCCCCAGTGCCCAATAACTCTGGATAGTATCATCGCTATCTGAACACCATCGCTGGACACAGTCAGGTAGCTGTCCAGTGTGGCAAAAGATTTCAAATTCATAATATATTTTGCTTTTTCGTGAAGATCTTTAAAGGATCGGAAATGAGATGTCTGGGCAGGGAAGGGGAAGGGGAAGGGGAAGGGGAAGGGAACTGTCTCCTTCCCTGAAGGTGCTCACTGACCTCACCAGAAAATGCTAACACTGTCACATGTGATTAGATGGGGCTTGTTTTGCTGCAGAACAAAATAAGCACCATGTCTCTGGAAAAGAGTAACTCAGGAGTGAGCGTTTTCAGCCAACAGGGATTTTCTTCTGGTAGTACCAAAAAAAATGTTCACGCTTTAAACTCTAGAAGCCATAATTAGCTCCATAATGCAATATTGTCTCTCTCTCTCAGCATTACCCATCCAGCTAAAATGTACCTACTCGAACAATGCAGGAAAAGCCTGCTGTTCTCACCCCTCCCACACTCTCTCATTTGTAGATCTAGTGATTTCTATGACAATCTTGTTTGACTTCCATTGAACACCTTGACGAACTTGTTAGATGGTTCTCATAAACTCCGTGCTTATTTCGGTGTCGGTTTGATATTTGAGAAGGGTTAAGAAGGGGCATAATTATTACACTGTACCTGCTTGACTTCGGATCTTTGTTTCCTTATTGATAACCTGAAAAACAGTTAGGAAGAGGGGAAAATTTAAGTTGAAATAAAAATATCAAGAAAAGCCTCCTGATAGTGAGTTGAGTTGCTTGAAATGGTGGAAGAGATTTCCCAGGGAAGTAGGGGAAGGCTCACCACTGTAGGACACTGAATGCAAACCAACCAGTGCATTTGGAGAAGCAGTCCTTCCTTGACCAAGTTATGGAGCTAATGGCCCACCAGACCTTGCTCACTGGTCTTTCCCTCCCCTCCCCCACTCCCACTTTGTACATGCTAAATTTCAACACTATCATATTTTAAGCCCACTTGTTGTATGACACTATTTCAGCTCTAGTAGGTATCTCTTCTCTCCAGGATAACAGCCAACACGCCATTGCAGGGCCAGTGGAGGAGAAAGAGGATGATGGAGCCAATCTATTTTGGAGATGCAACTCGCAGACCTCACTCCTGAAAGCACAGCCATGAGGCAGAGGAAACTTATGGCAGTGCTGTTGCTGACTGCCTATCAAGGGAGAACACTGCCACAGTAATTCTGGAAAAGATGCCTTGTGTGCTGGCCAGCTGTCTTTTCCATTTCTGCCCCTCTCCAACCTCCCCTCCCTCCAACCACTTTGCTCTTTGAGCAAAGAGCCCCCTTCCCACTTCCCCAAACCAGGAGAAGAGGAAACTTAACCGGTCTCCAGAGCCAAGTAAGGGCTTCAATAATCTGGCCCTTTGCACACTGTCTCCAAACTTGCTCTTGCTTTGGGATAGTGGACTGAAACCAGAAAATGTCCAGAGCTATCTGATGCTATGAAAACTTATTGAAGAATACAGTTCATATTTCCACTAGTGCTACAGCGGGCCTGAAAAAAATTCTCTTACCTCCCCCAACTTCAAAGAGACCACACAGACCATAGTCACTTGTATACAGCTCTTCCTTGAGGTCTTTCTTACAAACTTCCTCAGCATTGGTGCCTGGCACAGCTATGCTGGAGAATATAACAAAGCTCTGGGACATAAAGGTCTGGCAAGGGGATAACTAGTTTTTTAGGGCCCCAAAATAGTAATGCTGTTTCATGCTTGAGATGAGTTCTCCATACCCAAATCCTTTCCCAGCCAAAGTGATCAGCCTGATATGTGGTGGTTGTGTCAGAGGAGACAACTATTTAGTTTTCAACAATTCCAAATGTAAAAATACAACAGTAAATCTCTATATATTTTCCTTACTGAGTTTTTTTTAGGACCCTGGGTCCTGACCCTGCGGATTTCTCCGCCTTCTTGGAGGCCCTGTCAAGTCAGAGAGGCCAAGAAGATGCAGAGAACTTGCTTGCCTAGAAATGGGTCCTTGATGTCTCCAGTTATAACATTTCCTGTTAGTTAACTCACCCCTGATTTAATCTGAAGTTCAGCTGGAAGGAACTGAAGAGCTAAGAGAAGAACCAGGCAATGGAATGGCATCAGCCCTGCTGGCATCCTCGTTCATTTACTGCTTTCCCCTAGAAGAAAACATTTAAAATCCAAGATTAACATCATTATTTCAAATCATGTCTTCAGCTACTACTGAAAATGGGTGCCTACACCAGTTCTGGGGTTTTTCTTTTACCATTCTCATTTGTTGGTAGACAAATTATTTGAAAACTATTTATTAGCACCTTTCTAAGGACATATTGCCTGAAAAAATGTTTTTTCCTTAAAATTTGGTCAACACTGAAAAAGTTATCTGATTAACAATCTCCTGGTAATTACATAGTGTGTTGTATATGGAGACATGTCATCACTTAGGGCCCTCAGGCCTGATACAGCCCAAGCGCTTTCTCCATGATATTTGTTTGCCATTGTCCTTGGGTATCTCTGATGAGGAGTGTCTCTGTGTGGAATGAATTTAAAAGTAAATTCCCTTGAACTTAACAAAATCTTGTTGATCCAACATGGTGAAGAGGATTCACACTCCATAATTAATGCTAATAAACATCATGACTTCGGGAGTCAGGAAATCTGGGCTCCAATAGAGAACAGGCCTGGCCTTCACTGACATGATGTAATTATATTTGAGAAACAAGCTTAGCCTGAAGCAAGATCGATATCTCTGACAAAGCTTTGCACCATCTGGTGGCATTCAGTCCTTGTGTCTCCTTCTCAAAGCCTAGTGGCCCTTAGTAAAAGCACGGTTGCCTCAGATGTAAGTATGTTGCAAGTAGATGTGCTAGCGGGGGAAAATCCAGCAGAGCCCTAACATGGGAAAATAATGAATTGCATAAAACCAGATGGTTCACCAATAGCATAATCATGTCCAAAGTCAGCTTCAAGAGCAGAAGCAATAGGAGCTGGTGGGAGCTGGAGCTTTCCAAGATACTGCAACTTGCATTACCAACTCTCTGAAGCAGGTTAAGCCACGTGCCAGAAAATTAACTCAGTGAAATAATGAGCTAAAAATTAGGGCTGTGCGAAATTTCACCAGCCATTTCATTTTGACAGTGTTTCGACTCATTTCAAGATTGAAACAGCAAAATTGAAATGAAACAAAGAGCTTTGAAATAGCCTCGAAACAAAATGAGGCTAGTCAAAATGTTTCAAAAGTTGAAATGTTTCGACCATAGCACTGGGGATGGAAGTCAGTCCAGCTGAGCTGATTCCCATCCCTGGTGCTAGATTGGGCAGGGGGCGGGAAGTCAGCCCAGCTGGGCTGACTTCCTGCCCCCGGCTGGATCTAGCGCCGGGGATGGGGAAATCAGCCCAGCTGGGCTGACTACTCGCACCCTGCCCGATCCAGCACCGGGGAGGGGAAATCAACCCAGCAGGGCTGGCTCCCCTTCCCTGGCAGATCTAGCGAAACGTCGAAACAGAGTCAAAATAGCCCGACTGTTTCAATGAAGCAAAACGGAACAGCTGTTTTGAATCAAAATGAAATTCGATACAAAATGCTGTTCCGTTGAAACCTCAAAACTCAAGGTGAAATGGAATAGTGCCGTTTCACACAGCTCTACTAAACATCCAACGCAGGAAGTCAATGCAAAGGAACAACCTGCACTGTCAGTTATGTTTAAGGAAAGACCCATATGGCAGATGCGAGCCACATTTCAAGGAGCTGCTCTGAAATTATATTGTAAGGTCATATAATAATAGATTACAAGATCTATGGATCGAAGTGTGAAAGAGTAAGGATGGATACTAACTGGACTGAGAGCCTGAATTTTGGGGCCAATTCCCTACTTCCTTCCACCTGTACAGAAGATTCATTCTAAGTATGAATTTTAATAAAGTGCTTCAAAGCTCAGTTAATTAAAGGAGGAGATCTTCCTGCCTTAAAGCTAATGGATGCCTTTCATATGGAAAGAATATTACTAAAAACAGAAAGGGCAGAACAGAGGAGGGCTCTGTATGAACAATATTGCTGAAGAGTGAAACTGCTATTCTGTTCAGCCCAAACTTGCACAAAAATATGTAGGGTTTGGGCAATGAATTGTAATTATTTCCTTACAGGGGCCTACAGATTGCTTTCTTTTGCTTCAACTTTTCCCTATGTACCCTCAGCCTTAAAAATGACTATAAAAGAAAACACCCTTTACATTTATTTTGCTTCATCATTTTTTTAATTGCATGTTTCATGTTTAATCGCTGAGGTAACTCCACCTAGGGCTGTTATCTGTAGGTGTGTGAAATTTGGGAGGGAGTCCAAATTCAGACTATGCTCTGTCTGTACCTGAAGTGCTCTGACCAATTTCATTTGCATTACTTGAGTCATGGTGGAAACTATTCAAATACTTAGTGCTGTAGGAACATGTCGAAATTCTTCTGTGCCAACACATGTTTACAAAAACAAACAACATGGCAACATATCACAGCCGTTTAAGATAAAGAGCAAACACCCACATTTTAGTTTAATATATGCGTGCTCATACATAATATAACATTTGAATTGAAAATGATCTAATCCTATTACGTGACAAATAAGCCATATTGTAAGCCGAAAGTCCCATTCTTTCCTACACAAAGGAATGAAAACAATATTAACTTGGCATTTCCTTTAGATTCTTCAATGGAAAGAGATAGTTTTGCCTGACACAGAGGAAACTGGGGACCCTACTCCTTAGATTAAATTCACAGGTGATGAAGAGCGT